GTGGGTGCAGGACACTATAGTTCATTTATGTAAGTGAGGATAGCAAAATAAAGTAAACTGTGATAAATTATACCCAAGAATTCTTCATACGGTGGACTACCAGTAAAACTGATAAAACACATTTGGGACCAAAAATTATTCAGACCGAGTCTGGGAATAAAATTGAAGTTCGGGTTTTCATAAAGTTGGGTGACGGATGCCCCTTTTGGTTTCTGTACCCAATATTTAAAAAATGTACAAATGCAATAAAAGATTGGTATCGGTACTCGGTATCGGCAAGTACCAAAAATAAAAGTATCGGTATCGGGCGAGTACTGGAAAAAGTGGTATCGGTGCATCCCTAATTAGTTTTACATTTTTGGAAAGAATCTCTTATTCTCAACAAGGCTGCATTTATTTGATTAAAATGCATTAAACACAGTAATACTGTAAAATATTACGAATACATTTTAAAATGTAATTTATTCCTGTAATGCACAGCTGAATTTTCAGCATCATTACTCCAGTCTTCAGTGTCACATGATCCTTCAGAAATCATTCTAATATGCTGATTTGCTGCTCAAGAAACGTCTCATTATTATTAATGTTGAATACAGGTTTTGCTGCTTCATATTTTTGTGGAAACCACGATACACTTATGAATTAGAAAAAAATTATTAGATAAAAAATGAATAAATGCTGTTCTTTTGAACTTCCTATTCATCATTCTAGAAACTTGGTCAAATGTAATCATAGTTTCCACAATAAAAATTATTTCAAACATTTTCCAAAAAAAATTCAACATTGATAATAATAAGAAATGTTTCCTGAACATCAAATCAGCATATTAGAATGATTTCTAACAGATCGTGTGACACTGAAGACTGGAGCAATGATGCTGAAAATCCATCATAAGAATAAATTATATTTTAAAATATATTAAAATAAAAATTTCTATTTCTAATAAATTGTAATAAATTTCAATATAACCGTTTATACTATATTTTTCATCAAATAAATGCAGCCTTGGTGAGCAAAAGAGACTTCTTCCAAAAACATTTAAAAATAAAAAAATCATAACCATTCCAATCGTCTTGTAGTGTAACTGAACTGTTATTGTTTGCATGTGCTTTTTGTTGTAATGTCACTCATACTCATAGTTACAGCAACTGTGGATTGTAGTCAGAAACCATTAATGTCTTCCTCCCAGTTTAAGGTAACCAGACCCAGTTTCTATCAGCACTAACAGTCACAGCAGGAAAACTGGACTTTTACAGTTTTATCGCAACTCAGAAACAAACTAAAATTACCACCACTGGAGGGAAACCAACCAACATTTTTACACACAAGTGTAATTTTCATGCCTCATTTTCAGGCATGGTAATGTTATTTTAATAAAATAACACAACCGAGCATTTTTTTTCTTTTTTGCTAATTAAGAAATAAAAAGCGTAGATGCTTCATTATTTGAATTAAATGAGACAAAAAGAACAAGTGCTGCATTGCAGTATGTGGGGTTCTCATAAACACGAAGAAAACCAATTAAAAAAAGGTTTGTTATGAAAAATTGACATAATAAAAACAGTGATTCTAGACATTATTAATACTGTGTTTCACTAGATGGCAACTGGTTTTTTTTAGTCTTATAAAAAGGACATCACTACGAAAAATGCATCAGGCTTTTTAAAATATGCAGCGCTCCAATATAAAGTGCTTCATTACATTGTTATTTCATTTTTTTACAGTTTCTTATTAAAATATTGTATTCCCTGGAGTGAAACCATAGTAAACATGTTACACATTGGTAAAAATAAACATTTTGGAATGTCTTTAAAAAGTCCCATGGGCTGATTTTGGTCAAGCAGAGCTTGTCCCGGGAGCCTACAGGAAAGAAACACGTTATTAGTCTTATGTACTCCCAAACAAACCAACAACCAGTCAACTGATCTGGATCTGGAGGAGTTAGTCCACTTCAATCAATTTCAAGCAGCAGAATGCCAAAAAATGGGTTAAAAACATAAAATGTCATCACAAAAAAGCAGGTGTGAGAAGCATGCATATCCATGCATATGGAGAGGCTGTTATGATGGATGTTAAAAGCTGTCTTGAAATCAGATTCTCGGCCCTAAAACACATCGACACTATTCATAGTAACAGAATTTCAGGAACATGGAAAGTATATGGGTAGTTGACAAATGTGCACTTTTAAAAATGACCATGAACTTCTAAAGAAATTGCATGTAGTTTTGTGTATTTTTACGACTTTTGAGTCCCCTACAGCTGAGTGGAATTACAGTCGTATTTACAGTGGATAACTGAACATGTCCATTTGTTGTTGCCATAAAAAAATCCACCCTTTCTGCTGAATTTTGTTTCCCCGCTTACCAAACATACATACTCCCATAGCAGACATTTTGAATGTTTGTGCTCATCAAATGAAAGTGGAGCCCAGTGTGTGCACAAAAAGTATTCTTGTAGCTTCATAACATTACGGTTGAACCACTGATGTCACATGGATTATTTTAACAATGTCCTTACTATCTTTCTGGGCCTTGAACGTGTCAATTGTGTTGCTGTCTATGCAGGGTCAGAAAGCTCTCGGATTTCATCAAAAATATCTTAATTTGTGTTGCGAAGATGAACGAAGGACATATGGGTTTGGAATGACATGAGGGTGAGTAATTAATGACAAAATTTTCATTTTTGCGGTGAAATATCCCTTTAAATAAAGCATGAATTGTCAATTATTGAGTGATCAGGGTCAGATGGTTTTCTTTAAAACTGACTAGTCATCCTACAATACACTGACTAGTCAATTTGAGGAACGTCACACAGAAATGATTAACATTTCATGTCAACAACCCATATACAGTCAGTCCTAATCTTATGTACCAAACAAACTGTGTTCTTCCAGACCCACTTATAATTTTGATAGTGAAACTGCACAATTTGCCATTGTTCAGCAATTTGCTAATTGGGAGTTGTGGAAAATATGACCATCAGCATGAGAGATAATGTCTTTCCTTTTCTCTACTCCTCTTGTTTTTCCAGCTTGGCAGTTTCAATTATCTTTCCTCCAAATAGCAACATGGTGATTTTAAGGCAACGGATATATAAGTACAGTTTATAGCTGCCATATGAGTTCAAGACAGTCAATAAAAAAGAAGAGGCAAGAAAGGAATGAAAAAAAGATTTAAAAAATAATAATAATAATAATCCACAGATAAAAAATTAGAAGTTCATGCTCTGTTAGTGTGATCCATAGAAAGGATAGATGAAATGATAGATTGATGAAGGAGGTGAGGAAGCGTTAGTCAGCATGCAGCAGCAGCAGCCACAGGCGTGTTCTGGAGCAATGTGACCAGGAAGAAGAGGGTGGAGGTGGGCAGGCAGACAGACAGGAAGATGATCATGTCTTGTGTGAGGCAGAGCACCAGTGTGTGCTCCGACAGGGCCCAGTCCATCAGCACACACAGCAGCAGGTAGTACAGGTGGAACTCCTGCAAGGCCTGCCACTCCGCCTCTGCCACGCCCACGTCACCACTCACCATGGCCTTAACCTCCGTCAACTCTACCTCTTCCTTGGGACGGGCGCGCTTGCTGCGCCCCCGCTCCTCCACCGCCATTGACTTCCTGCTGTTCTCCACAAACTCCTGCAGGACAGGAAAGTAATAAATCAAACTATAGTCCAGTACAGCAGCTTCCTGGAGGCTGTCATCACACTAGGTTTGATTTCTCAGTCGGAAACCTACTATCTCTGCCACAGTATGTTTGGGTGAACGTGCAAATCATATCTCACCCCAAAATAATACAAGTAATAAAAGATTATTAGCTTATGTAAGAAGCATTAAGACCTTTAAATGATAATTAAGCACGTTTTATTTCCAAATTCTCATTACTGTAACATGAAAAAAAAATCCCATACTGGCAGAAAAAAATACTTTAGATTAATATGTGTGAGTGTGTGTATATATATATATATATATATATATACACACACACATACACACACACACAGTATATATTATGGGTAATTTGTTATTGCAATTTCTTACTGTAACTGTTTTTAATCACTATAAATTAAAGACAAAGACAGAACATACTATCAATGTGTATAAATTCACATATAGGTACGTGTAAATTAAATACATAAATATCCATTGAAAATAATTGGAATTATTCTTTAATTAAAAACATCCAAAATGTAAAACATCTGGATTCATTATCTGATGACAATTTGGGGGAATATAAAAAATATTAAAATATTATTAAAGTGCAAAAGCAAATGCAATGGTCTTAAAATGTGTCTAAATATATCTAAAGCTTAATTTAAGAAAAAATGGGGTTAAATGTCTGTTTGATGCAAATTGCCTTGCAAGAAATGCTTACAGTAAGATATTTTATTTGGAAAATCTCTGAAATGTTGTTTTTTTAGCCGTTTTTTTTTTTTTTTTTTTTTTTATAATTCTTTAAAAGCATTTACACTGGAAACAAAATATTGGTGTAGAAATTTTTTTCTAAATTCACTCAGAAATTGCTAAAAAAATTTTTACAAATTAATTATAAAGAAATGGCAAGTAGCACATTGAATTAAATGTGTAATAAATTTTCGAAGTAGAAATAGTATTTTCTTGTAAAACACACACCAATATCTTTGTTTTATTATAATTGCGATTTATTACAAGTTTTTATTGTAGTTTTTCCTGTTAACCAAATCATCATTTCCACTTTTTCCTTACAGAATGACGATTTTGCAAAATAAATATGTCATCATTAGCAGATCACTTCCACAACTGATAGAAGATGGCTTTCATAACAATTGCAAATTCTATTCCACATTCCTTACACCAGGAGACCATCTTCAAGCAGAGTAGGCTACAGTTCCTCAGCGTGCAGCTGGAAAACAGATTTCCCACCGAAAACGTGCTGAAATGGAGCCAGTAACTGCAGACTGAACAGATATTTTTACCCAAAGCAGCTCTAAGAAAGAACAAGCTGACATGTTCCAAAGTCTGTTGCTGTGCTACAACCTTTACTGCTAGCGACTTTGCATTTCTGAGGGCCGTGATTCTGTGCAGCACCTCAAGGCTCAAGCCTTCTCCTTTGATGTCTCAAAGCTGTTGGCTACACGATTTGGCTGACTATGTGAAAAGCAGAAAGCGCACAAGAATCCAGCCTTGTGAGATTTTTCCCCTTGAAAAATCAACGAGCTTTTCAAAACAAAAGTTGAAAGTTGTCCAAAGAGAATATCTGGGACACCATCTGAATCTTAAAATATTAACGCATCCAGGCCAGCAGAGAGCCTGCATTCAAAAGACAAACGACGCTACAACACAAAACAGAAACGTGACTCAGATGGCAAGTGCGCTCTCAACACTGAGACTATTTATGGTGTTCTGATCCAACAGCAGATAGAAGGAGAGAACTGCACAGATAGGCTGCAACCTTCTCTTCAGCAGTGACTCACCATCAGGGCCTTGTCCATGTAGAACTCCCTCCCAGGTGTGCCGTTGTTGTAGTCTTCAGTGTCACATGATCCTTCAGAAATCTTTCTAATATGCTGATTTGGTACTCAAGAAAATGTTCTTATTATTAATATTGAAAAGAGTTTTTGCTGCTTCATATTTATGTGGACACTATGATACAATACTATACAAAATGTTTGGATAAGAGAAAATAAATGCTGTTCTTTTGAACTTCCTATTCATCAATCAATAAGCTTGAAAAAACTTATCATGGTTTCAACACAAAATTAGTGTTTCAACATTGATAATAATAAGAAATGTTTCTTGAGCAGCAAATCCGCAGAAATAAATTACATTTTAAAATATATTAAAATAGAAAACAGTTATATTAAATTGCAATCATATTTCACAGTATTACTGTTTTTACTGTATTTTAATCAAATAAATGCAGCCTTGCTATAGTAAAAACATACAAATAAAATCTTTCTGACCCCAAAACAGTACATTTGAACAGTAGTGTATGTCAACATGCAAAATAAAACTGCACTATTCAAATAACAGTTTAGCTGGCTGCCTTTATCTTTTTTTTTTTTAAATACTTGACAACCACTATCAAAACTCATCTGTCCTTCACCTTGCCCAGAAAGAGAACAAAATCTCCAACGGTGTTGATGGTTGCCACCCTAAGAGCGTTTTCCACCAGGATCACGAAGGCATCGCGGGCCGAGGTGCAGAAACTGGTGCTGTTTATGGCCGTCGCCGCATATGCATTCTAGAAACAGATCGCAAGAATTAATACATCAAACAAAAAGAGCTACAATTTCTACTTCAATTTGCACAGAGTTAGTTATCCATCGACTAACCTACCTGATTCAAATAATTGAGGCACTTCTCCAGACACCACAGACAGCAGATACAGGCCTTCAGCATGCAGCGTGCACAAGCATTTTCCTGGAACAGAATTAGAACGAGCGCAAACGTTTTCCACAGTTCATGTCTGATGCACATTTGTCAGCCTCTTGCTTAATGCTCCAAATCTGCCTCTATAAAGCTGGCACTGTTATCTATTAGAGTTCATTATATTCCCAAGATCCCCAGCCATATACAGTGGGTACGGGCTGTGTGTACATTAATGAGGAAAAAAAATTAACTTAAATGATTTTAGCAAATGGCTGCAATATAACAGAGTGAAACATTTAAGGGGGTCTGAATACTTTCCGTACCCACTGTATCAAGTAAATGATACGTCACCTAAGTGGAACCCAAGAGGACAGTAATAAATAGCTTTCGGCATTAACTTCAAAAGATACCCACCCAACACACCAAGATAATACCAAAATAAGTATGTAGAAGAACATTTTCAGACAAGTAAAGTAATGATCACCTGACTGCTGATTCAAAAAGCAAAAGCCAATTCAATATATTTTTACACTTAGCTTTGAGCCATTGCATTATTCTTAAAAACTGCAAGTCAAAATTGAGCCTATTTACTTTAGTGATTTTATTGTGCATTATTTATTAGTAAACACAAAAGATTTTTATTTCTTGAAATAAAATAAACATCAACTAAAATAAAACAAAATAGAAAAAGAAAATAGAAAAACCTATTTTATTTTAACCTGAAGTATTAAAATAACTAAAACGAATAAATAAAAATAAATAAAAACTATTAAGACATTCAAAAAACTGATAAAAATGACAAACAACACAATGAAATTACTAACCGTAAAAACAGAAAACAAAAATAAAATCATTAAAAATATTGAAAATTCTCAACCATGAAAATTTTTAAATACAAAAACCATATTTAGCATATAATACTAGCATAAAACTCCTAAAAAACGTCATAATATTAGTTAATTGTGTATGCAATTGTCCCAAAAGCACTACACAGGAACTTTTCTGTCCTAATGAAAACTGTATGCCATAAGCATAAATATGCATGACATCAGTTAAGATTTTTGCAACGAGAGAGATTTGCAATTTAGATCCAACAACCCAAGGAAGGACACGTAAAGCGAGCTGCCTCCCTACCTTTCCTTTGAGTTGGTTGTGGATGTACATGAGAATGAGGCGCGGGATCTTGACGAGGGTGATGATGAAGGAGCCCTTGGCCACAGTGCCCAGGTGATACCGCACCAGCCGCAGCACTGATGACAGGATGGGCGTCACCGGGAGTTTGGTTTTGTCCCTGCATGGATATGAAATAAATTACTGCAAAAAAATGCAGTCTTCTTTCAAGGTTGCAACTGTGAGCTATTTCAAGAACAACTTCATGAATACAGGATTAGTTGAAGACAAGTACAATTATAGGCCAAAAATAAAAAATTGCTAAAAATGTAGTCACCCTCAGGCCATCCAAGATGTAGATGAGTTTGTTTCTTCATCGGAGCAAATTTGGATAAATGTAGCATTACATCATTTGTTCACCAATGGATCATCTGCAGTGAATGGGTGCCGTCAGAATGAGAGTCCAAACAGCTCATAAAAACATCACAATAATCCAGATGACTCCAGTCTTGTGAAGCGAAAGGTCCATAATCCATTGACACATATTTTAGCCTGAAGCAGCGTGTTTAAAGTTAAGATGTCTTAATGATGGATTTATCACAAACATAGACAAGACAATAATTGATAAACTGAAGTTGTGTGGATTATTGTGATGTTTTTATCAGCTGTTTGGACTCTCAATCTGACGGCACCCACTCACTGCAGAGGATCCACTGATGATCAAGTGATGTAATGCTAAATTTCTCCAAATCTGTTCCAATTAAGAAACAAACTTAACCACATCTTGGATGGCCTGAGGGTGAGTATATTTTTAGCAAATTTTCATTTTGGGTGAATTATTTCTTTAAGCAAACTCAAGCAGACAGAAATGTTGAAAGTGCCACAACTTCATGAAAATCAACCAACAAGGGACTTAAAATCGGATCAAAGGAAATATTTTCTAAATATATTAACCACATCACCTTTAACAAGAAAAGTGGTATTTGAGGGCGTTTTCACTAAAAATACAGACCTTGTGAAATAGTAGGTTACCACAGCACCGGCTACAGTCATCTGCTGACAAGCCAGGATGAACTCACTGATCCAGATCAGTCCCACTGCGTGGTACCAGGTCATGTACTGCAGCGCTCCTGTGAGCCTGAACTCAACCAGGCCAGTATCCTCGTTCTTCTCCGGGTTCCCTGTGGACACGAGTGTACAAGCGGCAGCCTGAGATTACACATTTAAAATGAGAACGAGATGGCCATGCAAAGTCACTTAATTTGTGCTTCAGTACGTAAATGTCCTTCGTTATCTGTACTAAATGACTTGAACAGAAGACTATTTTGAGGCTTGTACACATTACGTCTGAGAAAAATGCAAAGCAAAGCAATTCCTAAAATTGTTAATATTTCCTTTTGCACATCTGTACTACAAAGTACGCATTCTTAAGTTATTTAAGGGACAACCAAATATAATTACATGATGAGTGATAACAGACTGCTTTTAAACAGAAATAACAAACTTATTATCTTGAATGTTTCCTGAAGTGAAATCAGACATCAAAACATTATGATGTACAGTATTAGGATTGATAACTTTTTAATACGTTTAAAACTTGGCAAAGAATGCATTGACAAAATAATAAAAAAAAAAAAAAACAAGAAAACAAAAAGAACAAATAGTAGGTTACCACAGCACCGGCTACAGTCATCTGCTGACAAGCCAGGATGAACTCACTGATCCAGATCAGTCCCACTGCGTGGTACCAGGTCATGTACTGCAGCGCTCCTGTGAGCCTGAACTCAACCAGGCCAGTATCCTCGTTCTTCTCCGGGTTCCCTGTGGACACGAGTGTACAAGCGGCAGCCTGAGATTACACATTTAAAATGAGAACGAGATGGCCATGCAAAGTCACTTAATTTGTGCTTCAGTACGTAAATGTCCTTCGTTATCTGTACTAAATGACTTGAACAGAAGACTATTTTGAGGCTTGTACACATTACGTCTGAGAAAAATGCAAAGCAAAGCAATTCCTAAAATTGTTAATATTTCCTTTTGCACATCTGTACTACAAAGTACGCATTCTTAAGTTATTTAAGGGACAACCAAATATAATTACATGATGAGTGATAACAGACTGCTTTTAAACAGAAATAACAAACTTATTATCTTGAATGTTTCCTGAAGTGAAATCAGACATCAAAACATTATGATGTACAGTATTAGGATTGATAACTTTTTAATACGTTTAAAACTTGGCAAAGAATGCATTGACAAAATAATAAAAAAAAAAAAAAAACAAGAAAACAAAAAGAACAACATAAATCAGAACAAAATTAAATAAAATAAAAAATAAAAATAAACAAAAAATTCTTCAAATGGCCAAACTGTTCCATGCATCCGACTATTGCACTATTGTGTATATTTTGCACTCAAAAAGCAGATCCATTATAGAACGTGCAATTACATTTCAAGTTAGTTGTTTAAGGGATATTTCAAGCAAACATAATGAGAAGTCTGACATCATTTACCCATCATTAAGTCATTACTTTCTTTCTTCAATAAAAACAAAATGAAGAAGTTAAACAAAATGAATGCTGTTTTTTCTCCATACATTGAAAGCAGACTTTGATAAACAATTCTGTAACAAACACAGTTTGGAAAAACGGGGATGTAGCCTAACTGATGAAAGAAGTTTCTTTTTCTTTTTTTTTTAAACCCACAGGAACCTTCATCTCACCAGTGGTGCTCAGGAAGAGGAGGACCATGATCCAGTAGACCCAAAACAGAGAAAGAGCGAGGAATGTGCAGAAGGGCTGCAGAGCCAACAGCGGCAGGTGGATAAACACTTTTCCCGCCACATGAAACAGGGCGATGGTCAGAGCCACCCTCTTCCTCATAAACAACATCAGAAGCAACAAAATTCCCTGCAGGAGCAGAAAGGTGGAAATTGGCAGCATGACACAGCAAAAACACCAGCCGGGATCTCTTTCATATTTCACTTTCCATTTCTCTGAGGGCTTACAGTGAACACGGTCGCTGAAACGGCGTAGATGAGCAGTCCTTGAGCGTGGTCTTTGGTGGTCTTCATGCCACCGTTGGGTTCCTCTCTTTCCCTCAGATCTTTAGTCATGGTCTCATTCATTGTCATTCTATAGTCTATGTACAACCACCACAGAACGCTGGTACCTCCTGAGAAAAGCCAAGAACAGATGGCATATTCACATTCAACGCTGCAAAAACAGGTGTAAGCTTAGAATAAAACCCACACTTTTAATGATGATTCAACTTTGTGTGGGACTGCATTACTGTGCATCCCTTTGGAACAGACACATAATTCTGGCTGATAGTCAATATGATTATATGAACAGTGATATTATACGGTTTAGTCTGTTTTCAAGCAAAAATACTATTTACAACAAACAGAATCTCTTTCCTGAAGTAAAATCAGACATCAAATCATTATAATATACGGTATTAAGATAGATAACTGTTTAGTACTTTTGAAACCTGGCAAAAAATATACAGTTTGAGAAAAATAAAATGAAATAAAATGCATGATATAAAATCAAACAAAATAAAATAGAGCAAAATAAATTATTTAAAAAACAATTAAAAAAAATAAATAAATGAAACAACATTATTAAATAGAAATAAAATAAAATAGAAAATATAATAATAATAATAATAATAATAAAACTAGTAAATCAATCAAAATAGACCAAAGCAAAATAAATTAAGTAATATTTAAAAATAATAAATAAATAAATAAAACAACATTATTAAATGAAACAAAATACAATTACTTAGAATAAAAATAGAAAATAAAATCAAATAGAAAATAAACTAATAATAATAATAATAAACAAGAAAATAGAACAAAGCAAAATAGAAAAATAAAATGAAATCAAACAAAATAAAATAGAGCAAAATAAATGTTTAAAATATTATTTAAAAAAAAATATTAATAAACAACATAAAATAAAATAAAAAAGTGGCCAAACTGTTCTAATCTGAATGTGCTATTCTACACTCAAGATTAGGATGTGCAAATGAAGAAAGAAAGGATGCCATTCTCAGCTTGGGAGGTGAGAAAAGAGCAGAGAAAGCAGACTTGCCCAGGGAACCCAGAACCACCAGTGCAGTGAGGATCCAAACCAGGACAGCAGAGATGTAACGAATTATCACCATGAGGATCATGGACAAAACTGCAGCATGCACAAAACAGGATCAGCAGTTAGAGGAAGACTCCAGACTAAACTACAATTAGTAGTTAAGCATAATCTAAATGCATTGGAATATGAAACTTAAAAGTGTTGTAAATGCTGTTTCATGTCATCTTAAAGAGAGGACAAAATACTTCAGCCTTCTTCTGATATCTCATAATACTGTAATAATTACAATGGTGCACCTTAGATTTAGATAGTTGTTTGTTAATGCTTAATAGTGTAGAACTTAATTAGCCTTGATTTGATGTGGATATTATGAACCGTAATTATCCATTTCAACTCATTTTACAGATAAACACATAATCAGAAAATTGAATCAAATGAGCCTCAGCAGCAGCAGCCAGAGAAAGTAAACGGTTACCTAACGCCATCAGACACAGCCCAACAATGATCTCTTTGCTGGCCGCCACCCCGGCAATCAGCCTGTTTAACATGCTGTTATCACTGACAAACGTGACCACCGCTTCAGCAAACTTAGCATAGCAGGAAATATCCACCGGCGTGCAGCGGCTAAACACTGGAAGAGCTTTGCTGCAGAGATAGAAAAGGCCAGAGGATAGAGGACAGATCAAGAGAGAAAAGAGCTGTGCTTTACAGGGAGAGTTTGTTTGTCAAGAGTTTGTTTCATACCTCTCTGGGACTGGAAGTTTGGGACACTTTTCGAAGCGCTCTGGAAGGCTTGGGTACTTATGACCAGGTAACTCATATGAACAAAGCTCAGACCCTAAAAGAGAAGAAAAAGATGCAATATAATCAACATCACCCCTATAATGCTAGGTCATGCTAAGGTGGTCAAGACGGTCTATAAGTTTAAGATGAAACAAGCTCTGGCTAGACTAGCTTAAATCACAGTGTCCCACCAGCTCTAACTAGGTTGACACCTGTAAGGGCTCAGTCGCAGGGCAGTATTTATAGTTTAAAGATAGAAATATGATGAGCTAAAGTACCTTTTTAAAGTACTAACTTCACTGGATTATTGAAAAATAGACATTGCTTCATAATGATATGATATATGAATGTCAGGAGCGGGAGGCAGTGCCATTTCAAAATATTAGATGAGAAAACAATTTGTAGTACAAAAATAAAACAACGCCAATATTACAAAATATAACATTAAAAAGTGTAAAAATCAGTAATTTTTCTAAAGAAACACTGTCCAACAGCAACACCAGTAAAGTTACAGCGGGAGCCCGTGTCTCTCTCGCCTCCCCTGAGCCCACTGAGTTTTAACAGACCCTCTAAAGTGTGTGGTGAGTTTGCTGGGGGGTAATTGAGAATGAATGGGAGAAGGTCACGTGAGAGCAGGCAATGCCTCCATTGCGATATGACTGGATATGACTGGATAAGTTCGGCTGTGATTTTAAACTAAATTTCTGTGTCTTTGACCAATATTTACCAAGCTTTGATGACTGATGATCCAAAAAAAATCATAAATAGTTAAAAGTTAACTATTAAAAATAATAGCTGAACATAAGTTCACAAATAAAATATATAGTTTAAACTGTTACTGCCTTGATTTATTATTTTGGAATAAATGTAAAATGCTTAAAAACACTAACTTGATGAGATTCATGCTTGGCTTTAATAATTAGAATATTGATTACATTGTTAATGTAAAAATCTAAATCTAAAATCATCTATAATACAACTTCTTTTTTCTTTTTCTGATAGTGTGCGTAATGTTTATTTAACCAAGAAAATGTGACTGGGACATACATTTATATTTGATTTAAGAAAAAATGTAAAATCTTTGAGGACTTTGCCTCCTCATTTCATAACACCACCACACACCGCTGATGTATAAGTCAATGCAATGTTATTTTTGCATTATTTATACACTATAAAAGTATTACTTGATATTTTGAATAAGCTTTTGTTTGTATATATTCAGTTTTCCTTTTAATTCTAGTTTAAGTTTTAGCATTTTTGTTACATTCCTTGACATTTTTGTCTTTTTTTCTCTTTATCTTTAATTTATTTAAATGAAAATTAAAAATGCTGACTTGGCAATTAACTGAAATAAGTTGAATAAGTTTCCATCTAATACTTGTTTTATTTCAGCTTTATTTCAATTATCCAAAAAAATAATTTTAATCATTTATTTTTAGTTAACAATAACAACACCGATTCAATGGCTAATCCACAAAAATATGACAACAGAAATTGTTTACATTTCTTTGACAATGTTTTCAACAGAATTTGGGGAAAAAAGTGTGACTTTCATTAATGTGATCCTAATCTTCTTTACATGGGCAAACATCACCCTATCATTAATTGGCCAGGCCAATATATCGGTTTTAGCAGGGATGTGAAATGAGACAAATTAAATCACCGTCAACTCACTAAGTATTTAATATGAATGTGAACTCCATTATGAACTTTCCTTATGTACAGAAAACACAGTGAAACTCCAGCCAAACAATGATGTCATTCATACTCTCCCTTGGTGCCAGATGGGACGTGTCAAACACTATAGACAGCAAGACTGGACTGTAAACAACAGAGACCCTACAGCAAGATGGGTCAGTGGAATCTTTGTTTAGTTAGCTCAACCCTGACCGGGTCTTACCGGCTGCGCCTGACAGGAACATATGTGTGTATATATGTGTGTGTGGTGCTCTTGTTGGAGCCCCCGAGTAAAAAAAACACTGAAAAGACACACACTGGGGGTCACGACCATATATATGATAAACGCCTTCGTTTCTTCCATGGGTAGATGTCCAGTCAAGGTCCTGCCATTATATCTGTGACGATGACGTTACATGCCCACAATAGCTAGCTGGCTGACCGACTCACCATTCATCATGGCAAACCTCTTGAGGTCGTAGTAAGTCGCCAGTTCCTCGGTGGGACATTGTGAGACGCAGAGCGCCATGGACTTTATTTTCCTCTGAATGATGTCTATGTTGCACGGATCCAGGAAAAAGACGAATCTGTGAATAAAACAACAATAAAGTCTCATTTTTCAAGACAGGAAGAGTATCCAACTCAAATCTGATGACAAACGAAATACCAAAGCAGGTTGCTTATTTCATGAAGTCTGATCTGATACCACTGTGGGACTTAAAACACAGCATTGTGCGATAAAGATCGACTCTGAACAGCAGATATTTTTTGTCACAGGACCGTTCAGTCCTGTGTTTTGGCAGAGGGGAACTCAGAGCTTGTTGATGAGCCAAGCCTCCTCTGCGGCCGTGGCTTTACTTCAGCGTTTCATGCGGTGTGAAGTGGGCACGGCGCCCACACGGGGACGAGGGACCCATTGTCTTGTGTGTTCAGCACAAAAACAGACTGTCAGTAGCAGGGGACGCACGCGCTTGAGGAAAGAGCACTTCAGCATTAGCACAGAGCTTGTCAAAACAGCCTGGCCAAAGAAGAGGTTTACTGTAAGAACGTAGCCCAGATCTGACCTGAGGCTAGTCTAATGTGAAAGCATTGGAAGAAATAGCATTCAAAAATTGCAAACTACAAATCTAGGCATCTAGAACAGCTTAATTTCTTTAAAAATTTGAGACAAAATTAGTATTTTAGGTGAAAATAAAACTGGAAATTTAAAGGGACATATCATGAAAAACAGGATTTTCTTGTTTAAGAACAGAGGCTTAATTTACTACATAGACATACACTGTTGTTCAAAAGTTTGGGGTCAGTAAGGTTTTTTTAATGCTTTTGAAAGAAGTCTCTTATGCTTACCAAAACTGCAATTATTTTATTAAAATACAGTAAAAACAGAAATGTTGTGAAATATAACTACACATTTAAATAACTGTTTTGTATTTTAATATATTTTAATATTTAAAAATGTATTCCTATGTTTGAAAAGCTGATTTTTCAGCATCATTACTCCAGTCTTCAGTGTCACATGATCTTTCAGAAATCATCTAATATGCTGATTTGATGATCAAGAAACATTTCTTATTATTGTCAAAATTGAAAACAGTTGTGCTGCCGAATATTTTTGTGGAAAACATGATACATTCTTTGATGGATGAAAAGTTCAAAAGAACAGCATAAATTTGGAATATAAATATTTTGTTACACTGTAAATTTATTCTATTTAAATATTGTTTGGTGAATAAACGTTAATTTCATCCAAAAAATACATAAACAAATAAGTAAATAAATACATAAATCTTACTGACCCCAAACCTTGACCTAGCCTGATGAACAACAGTTTGAAAATCTCTGGCATCTGGAGGTTAATGCACCGAATGTTCGGCAATGAAAATTATTCTGCCGAAAATAGCAAAAAAAAAAAAAATCGGTGTTCGGCCGAATAAGCGAAAAGTAGGGATACACCGAATGTTCGGCAACCGAATAATACCGAACAATGACGTGACGTGATCAAATAGAGGCGCACACTAATGCAGCAAACATGTCGGCATTTAAAAGTCTCAGAGAAAGACGCAAAAATCAATACAAGCACCGACAGCGAGAGACTGTTTAGTTCTGCATCTCATATCTCCGATGAAAAGAGGAAGGGGTGGTTGTTACTGGTTACTGTATGATGATAGAAATCATGAAATGGTCTCAGACGATTAGTAAATAAACTGCAGAACGTTATGTTTTCTAATACATGCACAAATTGCATGTATTCAAACAGCTAGGGTTCAAAGTCCGAGGAGCAAGGAAAATCTGCGCTGAAACAGTGTTACTTGTCAGTTGCTCAGTACATTTTTTAATACATTTTTTAAAGGCACGTGACAATGTGATATGTGCAACAAACATCCTCCCAAATTTGTCATGAGAATCATTTATAAATCTGCTGTTGTCAACAAAAAGAACAAATTCGTAATGAGAATCATTTATAAATCTGCATGCTGTTGTCAACAAAAACAAGCACTGAGATCTTCCTGCAGGTTTCCGCCAAAATAAAAGCTGAGAAAAAGCAACAACTCCATCAACATTCATAAATGTAAGTATTATAATTTTACTGTTGTTCTGTAAAATAAAATAAAAAAGACAATAATAATGATAATAATTATTACCCTACATCAGCTCTAATAATACATTTATTATAACATTCACACATAGTGTTTAAATTGGGATCTGTAGGCTAATATATTCTAATGTTTTAAAAGAAGTCTCTTCTGCTCAGCAAGGCTGCATTTATTTGTACATTAAAAAATATTTGTTTTTTTAAATATTTTTTATATCATATTTACAAATGATTCTCATTACGAATTTGGGAAGATGTTTGTCGCACGCATCACATTGTCACATGCCTTAAAAAAAATTCACAAAAATGTTACTGAGCAACTGACAAGTAACACAGTTTCAGCGTAGATTTTCCTCGCGCTTTGGACTTTGAACCCTGGTGCTGCGAGCTCGTGCAGCACTGTCAGAATACATGCAATTCGTGCGTGCATTAGAAATTATAACATACTGCAGTTTATTTACTAATCGTTTGAGGCCATTTTGCGATTTCAATCGTCATACAGATACATTCTTTGATGGATGAAAAGTTCAAAAGAACAGCATAAATTTGGAATATAAATATTTTGTTACACTGTAAATTTATTCTATTTAAATATTGTTTGGTGAATAAACGTTAATTTCATCCAAAAAATACATAAACAAATAAGTAAATAAATACATAAATCTTACTGACCCCAAACCTTGACCTAGCCTGATGAACAACAGTTTGAAAATCTCTGGCATCTGGAGGTTAATGCACCGAATGTTCGGCAATGAAAATTATTCTGCCGAAAATAGCAAAAAAAAAAAAAATCGGTGTTCGGCCGAATAAGCGAAAAGTAGGGATACACCGAATGTTCGGCAACCGAATAATACCGAACAATGACGTGACGTGATCAAATAGAGGCGCACACTAATGCAGCAAACATGTCGGCATTTAAAAGTCTCAGAGAAAGACGCAAAAATCAATACAAGCACCGACAGCGAGAGACTGTTTAGTTCTGCATCTCATATCTCCGATGAAAAGAGGAAGGGGTGGTTGTTACTGGTTACTGTATGATGATAGAAATCATGAAATGGTCTCAGACGATTAGTAAATAAACTGCAGAACGTTATGTTTTCTAATACATGCACAAATTGCATGTATTCAAACAGCTAGGGTTCAAAGTCCGAGGAGCAAGGAAAATCTGCGCTGAAACAGTGTTACTTGTCAGTTGCTCAGTACATTTTTTAATACATTTTTTAAAGGCACGTGACAATGTGATATGTGCAACAAACATCCTCCCAAATTTGTCATGAGAATCATTTATAAATCTGCTGTTGTCAACAAAAAGAAGCACTGAGGTCTTCCTGCGGGTTTCCGCCAAAATAAAAGCTGAGAAAAAGCAACAACTCCATCAACATTCATAAATGTAAGTATTATAATTTTACTGTTGTTCTGTAAAATAAAATAAAAAAGACAATAATAATGATAATAATTATTACCCTACATCAGCTCTAATAATACATTTATTATAACATTCACACATAGTGTTTAAATTGGGATCTGTAGGCTAATATATTCTAATGTTTTAAAAGAAGTCTCTTCTGCTCAGCAAGGCTGCATTTATAAAAAATATTAAAAATATTTGTTTTTTTAAATATTTTTTATATCATATTTACAAATGATTCTCATTACGAGATGTTTGTCATGTTTGTCGCACGCATCACATTGTCACATGCCTTAAAAAAAATTCACAAAAATGTTACTGAGCAACTGACAAGTAACACAGTTTCAGCGTAGATTTTCCTCGCGCTTTGGACTTTGAACCCTGGTGCTGCGAGCTCGTGCAGCACTGTCAGAATACATGCAATTCGTGCGTGCATTAGAAAATATAACATACTGCAGTTTATTTACTAATCGTTTGAGGCCATTTTGCGATTTCAATCGTCATACAGTAAAAGTGTGACGTGACGTGACATGTGGCCAAGTATGGTGACCCATACTCGGAATTAGTGCTCTGCATTTATCCCATCCAAAGTACACACACACAGCAGTGAACACACACACACCGTGAACACACACCCGGAGCAGTGGGCAGCCATTTTTTTTTTGCTGCGGCGCCCGGGGGGGTTCGGTGCCTTGCTCAAGGGCACCTCAGTCGTGGTATTGAAGGTGGAAGAGAGCGCTGTACATTCACTCCCCCCACCTACAATCCCTGCCAGTACGAGACTCGAACCCACAACCTTTGGGTTACGAGTCCGACTCTCTAACCATTAGGCCACGACTTCAGTAGCCTAACCACCAGCATCAGCCACCTCTTCTTCTCATCGGAGACATATGATGCAGCACTAAACAGTCTCTTGCTGTCGGTACTTCATGCTTGTAATGATTTCTGCATCTTTCTCTGATTGTTTTAAATACTTTCACACTGCCGACATGTTTGCTGCATTAGTGCGTGCCTCTATTTGATCGCGTCACGTCATTGTTCGGTACATATTATTCGGCCTTTTTGCTTTTTCGGACGAATCATTTCGGTTGCCGAACATTCGGTGCAACCCTATTAATTTTAAGTTAAATTGTGCTTTGTTGGTATAATGTCTGCTAGAATGTTAAAACATGTTCAGTGTTAAGTAAATACTTTTAAATTGTTGTTTTGTAATTGATTCTTTATTTGAAAAGCAAGACAAAACAGTAAAAAGCACATTTTGGCTATTTAATTTATGCAATGGTGAAAAAAATGGAAAAATACATGGGGGGAAAAAATGTGAAAACCGTGTTCGGTATTCGGCCTTCAGCCAAGTGTTTAATTTTGTTCAGCTTTGGAATTCGGCCAAGAATTTTCATTTCAGTGCATCCCTAGCTAAAAGACAAAATGAATTGTACTGAACAATGACATTTTTGGTGACGTGATTTGAATGACCAAAAAAGCACCACCACCAGTCCTAAGTTCAGTTAAAATGACTAATATGCAGTCATATATGGTTACCAAGTTTTAATTATAATTACTAAAGTTCTATCATTAGTGTAGTTTAC